AGCAGTGCTTGAGTCTAGAATGAGATTGTTCTGACCTAGAATGTCATCCATTAAGCACCCAGCTTATTTGTTTGCAGTATTTCATCATCCCACTGTTCCACTTGTATCTTTCTAGAGTTAGGTTTGATCAATTTGAGGATCTCTTGGAACCCTCTGATAATCTGATCATAGGTATAGATGAGGAATGCATACACGCACAGACAATTTTCTGTACAGTATCAGTGAGCTGTTGGTTCCTATGGGTAGAGTTAAACTGACCATTACTTGACTGTTTTTTGAAATTTAAAATTATATCCTTTCACTTACAGGGTTTTAGAATCTGCAGATTTGCCAGCCAATCAGTCTTTTGGTGGTATCTGTCAATCAGAACATGAGGACAGCTTTTCAAACATTTCAAGTAAGGACAATTCTTACATTTTTATTTTATTTATTAAACTGTAGCTGATTTACAATATTATGTTAGTTTCAGGTGTACAGCTTCAAATTCTTTTCCATTATAGTTATTGCAAGATGTTGAATATAGATCCATGTGCCATACAATGATAAATCCTTGTTGTTTCTTTTATATATAGTGATATATATCTATTAATCCCATACTCCTAATAAGTAAGAACAATTTTTAATGTTGCCAGTTTAGTCACTGTTAAGTAAAATGGCTTTATCAATATAAATTCTCTTTTTAAAATAATTTCCCGTTTCTGTTTGTCTCTCTCTTTTTTGGCAAATCCATATTTCTTGTAAAGGAACATGCTAAATCTTTTATCAGTGTCCTAGGCAAAGGTAAACATTATTCCTCCCTTAATTAAATATTTACATTTTTAAAATTGGGGTGGTAGGAATTACTTGATTTGTGATATGTGTAGTATTTATGTATATATATTGATATGTATGTATATATGTTTACTAAAAATCTGTATTAATTTCCTAGCCAAGTACTTTGCTTATCAGTTTCTAAAAGGAACAAAGGTTGTCTTTGCTGCTTTATTTCAAATTCCCCACATGTTTTTTATCACACATACCTTAGAGTTCCAAGTCTTAATTATTGAGTTAATCAAGTACCTAACTGCAAAACATTAGCAAACAATTACTTGTGTATTTATGTTATCATCTACCTGAATAGATGACTATTCAAATCTAAAATTTAAAACACTCTGTGAGGTTTCTTCCTTTTTCACTTTGTCTTAATATTTGCTTGTACATTCTGAGACCTAAAATCTATGTCGTGTTTCTTTTTTTTTTTCTAACAACCTAACTCCTTTCCCTTCTGTGATCCTTTTTGAGTATTTACTCTCTTTCTATACCAGTAATGATAAGCATTAACGTGTGTGGATTGATAGGCATTTAGTAAGTGCCACAGTCATTATCATTTAATCCTAACTGCACTCCTATGAGGTTGATATTATTCCTCCCTCTTATAGAAAGTAAGCTGAGGCTTTGAGTGATGGGGTTCATATAATTTGCCCCAGCTGAGTTAGCTATTACCTGATGGCAAAGTCAGTCAAATTCAAATGTGTGCTATTTGATTTTTTGTACATAAGTTTATTTCTTCATTTTCTCTTCTTTAAATTCTTCATATTTCCTAGCACCTTGGTGATCCGTGATTTCTTGAGCAACCATTAGGAGGCCAATTTACTTCAACTGACAATCTTTTGGAGACAGTGTAATTTGTAATTATATTTTTTAAAATCTCTTTTCTCCTTTTTAAAGGTTTTTCTGATTATTTTTAAATTACAAAAGTAGTACATGTCACAGGAAAGTTGAAATAATTGTACAGTCAACACTCATATACCCACCACCTAGATTCTCCAATTAACATTTTACTCTCTTTGATCTGTCATGTCTCTCTCTTTTTTAATCCATCAATCCATCTTTTTTGAAATATTTCAAAGTAATTTGCAGACACAAGTACACCTCCTAAACACTTCAATGAATGAACATCATCAACTAGAGTTCAGTATTTGTTTAGAATTCTTTTTTATTCTTTTATCACTGAGGTAAATTATACTCAGTGAAATGGGGAACTTGAGTTTTGACTAATATATGAACCTGTGTAACCTAAATCGCTCTTAACATCAAGTCCATTACTTTTCGCAGAAAACTCCCTCATGCTCTTTCCCAAACAATCTTCACCCCTAGCTCTACCCCAGAAGTTCATTTTTCCACCATAGATTAATTGTGCCTCTTCTAGAACTTCATGTAAATGGAATAATTTTATATTATGTACTCCTGTACATACAGTTTGTTTTTGAGATTCATGCGTGTTGTGCATGTATCAGTAGTTTATTTCTTTTTAATGCCTAGTATGGTATGATGTAGACTTTTTAAAAATACAGATTTCCAGTTGCAGAATCTTTTTTTTTTTAAGTTGGCTTTAGTGTCTTTGTTAAAATCAAATGAGTATAAGTGTGGATTTACTTCTTTGCTTTCCATTCAGTATTTAGTAGTATGGTGTGAAATAAACATTTGTTTCCCCTCATACAAATTTCCAGTTGTTGCAGAACCATTTGTTGAAAAAAATTTTGCTTTCCCTTTGGATTGCTTTGCCTCCTTTATCAAAAATCAAATGACTGTGTAAATGTGGTTTAGTTCTGGACTTTCTAATTCTGTTAATATTGTCAATCTTTATGTCAACACCATATTCTCTTGATTACTATAGCCTTATAGTAAATCTTGAAGTCATAAAAGTCCTCCAGGTTTGTTCTTTTTTGAGATTAGATTCTAGATTCTAGATTCTTTGCATTTCCACTTAAATAATAGACCCTGCTTGTCTCTTTCTATAATAAAGCCTCTGCAATTTTAACTAGGATTATAGTGAATCTACAGATCAATTTGGGATGATAATATCAGCTCTTAACAATATTGAACCTTCCAATCTATGAACAAATGACTTCACTCCATTAGATCTTCTTCAGTTTCTCTCAGTAATGTTTTATAGTTTTCAATGCCACATTGAATTTTTAATGGATTTTAAAATTGTAATTCTTCTTCCCTTCTTCCTAATTAAGGCTCTGGATCAGTATCACTATATGAGGTAGAAAGATGTCAGCAACTATCAGCTACAGGTAAGAAGACCATGTTTCATTTTTGAAAAATGGGCATAACAATGAGCATAATAAATCTGTCCTTATATCTATAAGTTTATAAAATGTAATTCTGCCCTACAGTACAGTGGGGTTTATTTTTAGTTTTATAATGTGAAGTATCTTATATGACATTAATTTTAATCACTTCACACTTTGTACTTACTGGTGCATGTGTGTACATATTCGTACATACACATAGAGGTGCCTGTGTATAAGTATAGGTATGAACGTGTGTGCATATGCACCCCAGCTGTGTCAGTGAAAGGCTGTAGAAGCAATGGCCCCCAGTAGCAATGCGCACACCTCGTGTACAGGTCTTCGTTTATAAATAATATCCCCAATTAAAAGGACTCCTTGAAGAAATAGCAGATTCCAAGGTTGGGACAGGAGAATTACAAGATGATTGTGGAACATCTTGTGCCAGAAAGTAAAGAAGTTTTCAGGTAATGATGGCACATGTCAAATCTGGTACAATTTGAGTATCAAAATAAAAAATACTGGTGATGGGATAGAACTGATTGAATAAAGTAGGAATCTATTAGTCTGTATGGATAATAAATAAAAAGAACAAAACAAATAGATAAATGAAATTGAATGGAAAACGGTTATTTAAAACAGAATGGCAACTAATAAATGAAATAATGAAGTTGGGGGTAAAAAAACGCCATTTTTTAATCATGATAGTAATAATTTATTTAGTTGTCAATCATCAATGGATCCTAAATGAGCAGAATCCTAAATGTTTAATGAACTGGGATATTTATGTTTTTCCAAGTACTTACTAGTTTTAAAGGGGGAAACAATAAGTGTATAGTGGAGATAACTGCTAAACAGCACCTTCACCAGCTGAGCAGAGTTAACATCCCCAGGAATGAAACACTGATGTGATGCACTGAGAAGGCCACAGTATCACTTACACAGTAGGCTTTCTACACCAGAAATGCAATGAATAAAACTTAATTACATCTTAATGTGTATATTTGCTTCAGGGGGACTCATGTCGTGGATATACTTACATTCTTGTAGATTTCTCTGACTTAATCTAACAATTCCTTGTAGTGCTTACAGATCATCAATATTTGGAGAAAACGCCACTCTGTGCTATTCTGAAACAAAAAGCTCCCCAACAGTACCGCATCCGAGCAAAACTGAGGTCGTATAAGCCCAGAAGGCTCTGTCAGTCTGTTAAACTTTCTTGTCCTAAGTGTCATTCACTGTGAGTATTTTCCATTATAGAACAGAAGTTTTCACTTATTAAAATTTGTGTATTTATGTTTTCTTATGTATCAGTTTAAGTCCTGGCAATGAGTGAATGATAGTTTAATGTATTGTATTTTGAAAGAATGATCATGTTTTTAAGAGAGAATACTAATTTGTAATAAATCCTTCTGATATTTATTAGTAGTAATACATAAAAGGAGGTGCTGTTTTCAGATCTGGAATTCAACTTAGTAGCTCTGGTTAAATGCAAACACATAATAAACTATGAAGATATTTGGGGAGACTTTCTCATTTGTTCCAAATCTTCTTGAAAGTGAACCATTATTAACTAAAATTGTTAAATAGAGAATAATTCTGGGTAGTTGAAATTTCTAATTAAGTGATACAGAAAGCCTTGCTGGAAATATTTCTGTCCTGCTTAATAACTACAATATAGTGAATGTAATTTAAACTTTTGTTAGTAATTGAGGATTTCTCAGTTCCTCAGTCTTTTTTCTGAACATCAATTATTACATAAATAAATAAATTTTAGGACATTAGAATAAATATGTACTTATTAGCTCAAGATATATTCTGAAAATTACTTTTAATCCCTCTTCCTCTTTTTTATGCAATTTGACTATCTTCCCTCTAAATATGTAATACATAAATATATATACATCTCTGTCATATTTGTAGGTGTCTGTTGTTTGTGGGTGCTTCTGTGTACACTAATGTATATATATTTTCCCTCCAGAATCTAAGTGTAATACTGCTGTGCAGATTTTTGATCATCAGATCTCCTTATATAAAATGGGAGACTGTCTTCCACCCATTTGGGCTTGAATTGGTATTTGGAATTAAAATATAAGTACAGATATTAGGTAGTTCTTGAAGTATTATCAAGTTATAATTAGCAAAAACACATAGCTTTGCCAAACAAAACCACCCTTTATGATCATTTTTTTAAGCAACTATGGAAATCATCTCAGAAAAGTTAAGAGGTTTCACCTAGTTACACAGCTGATTGGTGACAGAACCAGGACAAGGACACAAACCTTTTGATTGCAAATTATGCTGTTTCTACTGTATCATACTTTACCATATGACTTTTAAAAATTATTATTCTAGATTAAAAGAAATCAAAAGGAATATTAGTAGGTACCCTATGAAAGTGAGATAATTTAAATGGTAAGTGGATGTTTATCTTGAGTGAAGACAGGGATCTCCTGCTAGAAGGTTTAGCATTCCTTACAGAGAACAGTTTAGTTCTAGAAATAATTATAAGTAACCTTGGTATCACCAAACCAGGCAAGGAAATTGCTGGTGGCCAATGTAATTATAGTATGGGTCTAATTAGCCATGTAATATCATCAAATATCTTTCTGTTGAATAAGAGACACTTAATCTGCAAAGTGAATTGTCTCCAGATTTTAAAGTAAGTAGCTGCCTCAAAGGCATATGAACAAAATTTTTATTGGATCATTTGTTAAATTTGACCTTGCAAGTTTATACCAGTTGTTTTTGTGTTATTTCTTTGTTTATTTTAGGCAAGAAGTTCCACATGAGGGTGATTTGGATAAAATTTTGCAAGAGGGTGCAACCAAAACCCCAGATATCAAACTACAAAACACATCATTATATGATTCAAAAATCTGGACCACTAAAGATCAAGGAGAACGAAAAGTAGCTGTTCATTTTGTGAAAAATAATGATATTCTCCCATTTTCAAATAACTGTCTAATTTTGATAGAAGGTATGATATTTAAGTTACTGTTTTATTAGAATACGGCTTTTGCTTGTGTCTTTCTCTGGTTAATTATTGTTAAATATATTTTAGGGGCAGCCTAGGACATACAAAGTCAAAGCAGTGTTCATTTAAATTTCAAACAGTGTAATATATTACATATAACAACTAGATTCAGATACATACGTACAAGTATGTATATGTTTATCTGAAAGACATTTTGAAATTATACATTAAATTCAAGTGTTTGCATTTGTCTATCTTGTTGGATTTGTACATGTAATCTTAATGGGATCCAAGGTGATTATTGAGCCAAATAATAATCAGGAAGCTGCTTGTTACGTACAGTTGCTATTATTTTGGCCTCTGGATGTCACTCTTGTGTCATAAAAACAGCATGAAAGTCATCTCGAGCTAAATCAAGGAAGGGACCCTTAAAGCAAGTAAAGATAACGACATATTTTAAAAGAATGAAACTTTGAGTCAAATTTGGTTTTGTATTTTATCCTTTTGGCTTATTTTATCTAATATATATCTAGTAATCCATAATAGGAGACCATCATCTTTAATTTTCATTAGAGAAACTTCAGTTTCATTTTGTAAATGAACTGATTTTTATTACAATGGATTATGATCATTTTTAGTGCTGATATTTTTCTATTTATAAAACAGTCACTTTAGAAAATAACATATATGTGTGAATATACATGTATATAAACATTGGTATTATTTTCATGAACATCTCGTTTTAATATATTTATAGTGTATCAGAAAGTATTTTAATTAATTTCTATGTATCAGTTCATTTAATTATCACTGTGAAGTTGGTACTGTTGTGAGTTGTTTTTTATACATGAGAAAACTGAACCACAGAGGAGATAAATGTCTTTCTCAATAGAGGTAGTGAGTGGTGGAACTTAACTGTGTCCTGTTTTTTGACATAGTAACTCTGTGATGAACTTCGCCTCCCTCCAGATGAAGTATAATTATGGAGATACAAGGAATTAAGTAAATGTTGCCCAATAACTTTCTGGTAAAGTTATCATAGTATGCATATGCTTTAGTGCATATGAGATTATCTGTTCCCCTACTCTCATACCAGTGCTTTTATACACCAATGCTTTTAAAAACTTGGCCATTTTGAGTGAAATGTGATATTTCATTAGCAGTATTTTAATCTGTACCAGGAGATAGACATAAAAACAGAAAGACAGAGACACACACATACGCAAAAATGGAGTAAGACTGTTTATATGCCCTAAAAATAAAATAAAGCCATGATCTTGTCAGGCTTTATAAGAACTGTCCTTGTAGGGCCAACAGAGAGGATGTCAAATATGCCTTAGGGTCCTTCTGTGCTGTGCTGCTCCCCACCGGAGTCTATGCTAAAGCCAAGTTGGCCTTAAGGATCCAAAGGAAGCTTGAATAAAGACATCCCCTTAGCTCCTAATCCTATCTGTAATTACCAGGCGTCCCTCAAACTTTCAGTGTCATCTCCTGCCCGTCCTCAATTCCCACCCCACCCTCCAGTCATATTGAACTGGTGACAATTCCTAAACCCAGTATATTTCTCTGTGCCATTCCATTGCTATTCTACTGAGAATTTCTGTTCTAATACATCTTCAGAAGTGAACTCAGTAATTCCCTTTATTTGGCAATTCTTATAAAATATTTAATGAGCATCTGCGTGCATAAGCGCTTTTCTGATGCATCAGGCAGATCTGTGTGGTTCTAATTACATACCGCGTGAACTTCTAGTAGAACACTTTTCTTCTTGTATTATATTTGTGTTACAACTGTCTGTTTATAGATTTGTTTCCATATTAGAATGTAAACTCTCTAAGGTCCAGATACATGTTATTTTAATCTACGTGTCTTCAGCACTAGAGTAGTACACCTGGCACATAACTGGCTCTCAGTAGAGATTTATTAGATACGTAAGTCCATCCAATGTAAAACACTTTACCTTACAGAGCCTTTTTAAAAAGTCAAATGAGAGTGTATGTGAAAGCACTTTAAAAGGGTTTCATCAAAATGTGAGCTATTTTTATGTTATCATATTTCTCAGTATCATAACTCTAACCATAGGCTAGGATCTAACTATAGTATGATGTGGCTGAACTGTGGTTGCCAGCTATGGCAGAGCTGCAGGAGGAGGTATGGGAGCTGGGCAAGTTAAAACACAGCAGAGTTTGGTGTTCTTACCAAGATTTAGCCACTTTTTAAAAAATAACACACCGTGGATTGTTGAAAGCCTTTGGTTGATTTCTAGAGTTCTGAAAACGTTGAATTTGACAGTTTTTGCCAGTATTATTTTTGCTGTTATGGAAAAGTGTATTTTGGGACATTCTTACACTGCTATGCCAGAAACGCTTCCCCTCACAATTGAATTTTAGCATTATAAATTTTACACAAATTTTAGGAAATGCACAGAATCACTTTTATAAATCATATTCTCTTTCCCTGGGGAGGAAGAATTACCAACCTAAGTGAAAAGTTCACCAAGAAAGGTACCAGTGGGTTTGTGTTATCATTGGTAATGCTGCTTTCTAATAATGGTACATCGTTGAGCATGCTGTTTCTTCTCAGCCAACATGATTTTAATGTCCACCCTGTCATAGCATTAGGGTAAGTGGGATGATTTTCACAGTAAAAAAAATGAACAAACACTATACATGAATTCATATTACACAGTCTGCTCACATCAAACTGAAAAGATTTAGTTCAAATTATTATTATATACTAGTAGTATATAGCAAATTTAATAGGAATCCTGTCATTTTATGGCTCCCAACTTTACTCCTTTTAGATCATTTGAACCATAGTGTTCCTTGCATAAAGAGCAATTTGTACAAATTTAAAGTTATGGTTAATATTTTACAAACTTTATATTTTGTTCAAGTCTCAGCATTTTTGCTCAGTGCTTTCTTTAATCAAAGAATAAGATCCTAAGTTTACAAATTATTTTAACAATAAATGTATAAGTGTATGAAGTGTCTTAACTTCATGGCATGCATTGCCTTTTTCTGTTAGTCCTTTTAGTCTTATTATATATATCTCATGTGGTACTTAATAGGTACTCCATTTTTGCCTATTCTATACTTGTAATACTTGAAGGATTTATTTATTCTCTTTTAATAGGAGGTACACTCAGTGAAATCTGTAAACTCTCAAACAAGTTTCATAGTGTAATTCCTGTGAGATCTGGCCCAGAAGACCTGGAAGTCCTCGACCTTTCAGCACCATTCCTTATACAAAGGAAAGTGCATCACTATGGGTATGTTTTCAATAATGGTAATTTGGGGAATTTTTATTTTATTTATCTATTGCTTGTTTATTTTACTTTTGA